TCACAAAGACCTTGTTGATAAAATAGCATGTGGTAAGGAAGCCAGACAAATCCCACCAAAACCAAGATGGTAGTGAAAATGACTTTGTTATCTTCAATGCTTACTATGCACTAATTATAATGCATTAGCATGCTACAAGACACTCCCATCAGCACCATTACAAATGCCATGGCAATATCAGGAAGTTACACTATATGGTCTAAAAATGGGAGGAACCTTAAGTTCCTGAAATTGCCCACCTGTTTTCTTGAAAACTTATAGATAATCCACCCCTTCTTTAGCATATAATCAGGAAATGACCAAAAAAGTGGCCAGCCAGCAGCCCTCAGGGCTGCTCTTCATATGGAGTAGTCACTCTTTTGTTTCTTTATTTCTCTAATAAACTTGCTTTCACTTTATGGATTCGGCTCAAATTCTTTCTTACATGAGATCCAAAAACCCTCTTTTGGGGTCTGTATTGAGACCTCTTTCCAGCAACACTTTATAGTGTGAGCTGTTTGTAACTGATTCATTGAAATAAATGAAATGGGATTTTCTGCAGAAATATTTAAGGTCTTTATCTAGGAAAATGTAAGTACTTAAAAAAAAAATAAGCTTAGCTGGAATAAAAGATTTTTTTTCTTGTTTTGTATTAAGCCTGACCTCTGTGAGTTGGGCCTCTCTTAAATGATTCAAGTTCTCCATTACTAATTAGTCAGAAAGTCAGCAATGACTGTTCTAAACTTCAGCTTTCAATGTTCTGCATTTTCAATGTTTTTGCCTTCTTGGTTGGCTAATTGGGGGGTTTCTAAATTCTGTCTGAAAAGAAGTTTTTCTGCAAATGGTGCATCAATTGAGGGAAACCTTATTTGGGGCTTACTTAATGAGGGTCTCCTCGAATATTTCTCTGAGTGTAATGTATAACTTCAGAGTAAGTGGGCTACTGTGTTTCTTTTTAAGTGTGTTTTGTTTTGTGTATACTTATTTTAACTTTTATTTTAAGTTCACAGGTACACGTGCAGGTTTGTTATATAGGTAAACTTGTGTCATAGGAGTTTTTTGTACAGATTATTTCATAACCCAGGTATTAAGCCTAGTACCCGTTAGTTATTTTTTCTGGTCCTCTCCCTCCTTCCTCCCTCTGCCCTCTGATAGGTTTCAGTGTCTGTTGTTCCCCTCTATGTGTCTTTTTTTTTCAGGTAACATGCATTTGGAGAATAGGGCAATAGTCTTCAGTGTAAGAAAAAGCAAATCAGAGTTTACCTCACCCTTAGGTACACAAAAAAATTCTTTCTTTTTCCTTTTATCACAATGGCAGAGTGAAAGGCAAAAGATGTGTGAGGCTAAGTAGAGACTGAACGATTAAGTGCCACCAGACTGCTCAGCTTTCTATCTAACAGCTATTGCAGCTAATTTCCCAATTCAAATTTATGTAGGAACATAAGACAGAAATACTGAACACATGGAAGGGGGCTGTTCAGAAGGTGAGATGTTACAGAGTAGTCTACATACCACACATACCAATCAACCTGAGTGAATAAACGTCACTATACCCCCATGAAATTAGATATATAGAAACTTCCATTAGAGTAGTCTGAAACTTTAGGGTTTGCCAACATTATTTAACAAAGCCACAATGTAGGAAAAACTCTAAAATTACACGTATACACTTTTAATAAAGGATATAGGAAGATAAAGCTGGCTAGCATTTGTCGATATTTCTGCAGAAAGACACATGGTTTTAAGAATACTATATACAATCACTTTGAGCAGATTGGTGGGAAAAAATGTAGCAAATTGGTAACTTGAGCTTAACTACTAAGGTCTCCTTTTCTGGCACTCCAATATAGTTCATATATTACCAAGACCCACTGCCAGCTTTCCTTCTGTGTTCCTTCACTGATTTAGCCAGTAGAGTGAAAGTAATTATTCCTTGAATGCATCTTATCTATTTTTTTTTTCCTTTAGTGCCGTTCTGTACTAACAATCTATTTCTTGATATATTGAATTCATTGTTGTTTTAACTCACTCTGCTGATGGCTGTGTACCATCCTGGTACAAAGAACATATTTAATGATCTTGAACACTGTGCAGGAAACAGACCTAGCCCTTTTAGAGAAGTAAACAGTCATGAGTTGCATGCTATTAGGAGCCATCCATTCATTATTATATTATATAATACCCACATGCAAGAGGCTACAATTTAGTATGGTACATTACAGCTATAGTTAAAGAAATGCACATGTACCATACCTCATCAATCAATTCCTAGCTAGATGGAACTCATTAATTTTCTAAGAATATGGATCTTGTACAAGGGCCTGGCAATCTTGTTATATGCCCTCTGTGCTTCTGCACAGAACATCTTTTGTACTGAATTTCTTAACTACTCTGAGAGCAGAGATTCTGGAATGTATAAATGGAATGTTCTTCACATGCTGTGATTCTTAGACTCTTTTTCTTAAAGGAGAAGACAGAGAATCATTCTTTTAAAGTATTTGCTCCTGCTTTGGAGAAAATGTGTGTGTGTGTGTGTGTGTGTGTGTGTGTGTGTGTGTGTGTGTGTACACGTGCATAAGTGTATGTAGATATATGTGATGAGAGGTGAAAAGAATAGGCTGTCAATGACTGTTACATTCCTATGAATTTGGACCCTGTTAAGCTTTAGGTTCATGTTACAATAATGGATATTCAATATTCTTAAAACTTACTTTCTAGGATTGTGCTTAAATCTCCATTAACCTCAATGTCTATGCTTTGTGCAATTTGGCATAAACATGGAGAGCATTCTTTACCTTGGCAATGTCTGCCCTGAGAGTGGGCCCTATGGGTGCCACAGGAGGTAATGACACTGGTTGATATCACATAGTGTGAAAGATATGTGTCACATGGGGCCAGTGGAGGAAAGAGGCACATATTGCATTCCTATCACCAGTAAGAGTTGTACAAATTGCATACTTTTCAGATTTTTGACAAAATGTGGCTCTTTCAGAATATGATCCTATTGTAATTACTCTCAAAATTCTAACTGCTCCATGATAATTCCAGTACTGGAAAGCCAAGTTACTTTAACAGTGTACTGGACATTATAACTTTGAGCCCTGCATAAGACAGCTGTGTTCGACTGGGGACCACTTAATCGCTTTTCCCCTTAATTTTTCCAACTGTACTAAGGGGAAGATTTTTTATTCTGGCTCTTTCTGAGGACACTGTTGGAATGAATGGAATAACTTAACAAAGTGCTCGAACTTCTGCAAGAATAAATCAGCAATGAAGCATGGACAAAAGAATGGAGCACACAATTTTGCTTAGAAATACTGTTATGGTTAAACTTTTCATTCCAGTCCTATAATTAAAGACACATAAGAACACTAGAATGCTACCTAGCACCTTTCAGCAATAAGATAATAACAATGAGTATCTTCATCTTGCAAATGGAGAAAATGAATATTCAAGATTAGGAAATGAGATTCCATAGAGGTTACTGGACAGGGCTCCAAGGAAAACCAAGCAAAGAAGCCAGATCAGGGTGTGCTAATTACTAAACAAAACTTTGTATTCTCGATCAATAATCAACCATTTGGGTATCTATGTAAATTATTCAATTCTCGGATGATCCATGGATAGAGATATCATCAGAGTCTACAAACCAATGAGACCAAAATGCTAAGATAGGAATAGGTTTTCTATTTTTCTCTGAGCCCCCCGGTAAACCCCTGATTTATTTGGCCTTTTAAAGACAGTGTAAATCTGTAAGACATTAAACAATCAGCTTTGCATTACAATTTTCCTGAGCTTTACTTTTCCAGAACTTCCTTATAGTTAACTGACACTATCTTTTGTGACTTCACTTCTGTGGAGTTGAGTGCTGATACACCCTATACATTAAATAATTTCTCGACATTTTTTCTGACCTTGAATCATAGTTAACAGCTGCTCTGCCTGAATGCTTGGCAGAAGATAATCAATGGGAAGGAGGAAGATTACTTTGAGGTCTACTGGCTGTGTAGGAAGTAAAGGCAATACATTTAGAAACAGGTGCATATCTATATCAATAGAAGAAAAAGCTTGTCTGTCATAAGACCATGGGGATGGCCAAATAAACTATCAAGAGAAACTCAAACAAGAGAGTATTTTGAGAAAGAGTGGAAGGGAAAATGTTTTTCCATCTGAATATATAAGACTTCATCATGAAACCCATTGTGTGCATAGTCTTCTAGGCTGCTTTTTAGCCTCTGAGTTTGAGAAACAGTCATTGGCCCTAACAAATGTAGTCATATCTAGTATTCTCTCAAATGTAATGCTGACCACAATCCATTTAATTTATGTCAAAAGTTTCACCTTGATCAAAATTACCTAGAGGTCCAGATCAACAGGTTTTGTTGTTGTTTTAAGTAGCTGGATTGTTCACTGTCTCAGGTCTACTGGAACCTCAACACTAAATTGTGGCAGGGAATTCTTTTTTACTCAAAAATATTGCAGGGGGGATAAATTAGTAAACCAAACCATCCCTCTAGAAGCTCAATTACTTAATATCTGAAAGATATCTCTAATTCCCACTGATCCCTGTAAGAGTTGGAGCTTTTATTGTCAGTAGCTGAGCAGTAGACTGCTGGGAAAATTAAAGACATCAATACTCTTAAGATATTATTATTATAAAGAAGCAGTATTAGTATTCACACTCCTTGATTCAGGCACTAGGACTAAAAGAAAGGCTGATTATAAATAAATGGGGAAATCAATGCAAACTGTCTTAATGGCTTAGCTACCATTGAAGCTAAAACAAAGAAACAAAGAATTGGCATATTACTATTTGGTTATCACTGTCTGTACAATAATCCCTGCTATGAAAACACAGCTCTTTAGTGCTAATCCTCAGGCTGTCAGCTGTGAAATTTTACCCTTATGAAAGGTATTAAAGTTAATTTCAAAAATCACTCTGAAAACCCTTAACAAAACCTATGGGCCATAACTTAGGCTTATAGATTTTCTTTCATCATAAAAGTAATTCATAAAGGATAAAATAAAACTAGGTAGCAGATAAATAAATAAAAGTAATTGGAGAATTCTACCGCAATCTGACATTAGACATCTTTAAAACACTGATTATTATGTTCAATAAAGTGTAAGTCCTGATTTTCATCTTATGGTTGCTTTCAGGAACATTTGTGATGGAATAGCTTTTACATTGTTGTTCAAGTCCCAATTTGAGGACCTTGGTCAGTGTATTCAGTCACCATCCCAAAATTTAGATACCTGATATAGTGATGGTTCAAAGTCTAGTAAATACTTAAGTTGCTATTTACAGAAAAATCATAATCAGGTTTTTAGCCTTGATTTTCACACTATAGCAGAATTTTGTATAGATATGCTGTCTATGTTCACAAATACACATGCACATAAGCAACAAATGTAGTCTGATTCCCTTCAACACCAAAAAGGCCCTATTATGGGATTAATAATCTTTGCGGATAAATTAAAGACTCCAAGGAAATTTTCTGAATTCCCTTTTACCTGATACGATGAATGAAAAGATATATTTTACATGCAGACTTTCATGGATTGGGGCAGGGGAAATGAAGAAACAAAAAATCTGGCTTGAATTAACTGCTACCAAATACCAAGTTGGATTTCGGTCAGAAAATTAAATAATGTAAAGTCCAGAAACATTTGCACAGCAAGTATTGGATGGAATTCTTTCAAATTTTGAAGGTTTCAGTCCAACACGGTGACTTATTTTGAAGATTACAATGATTTCCAACACTGAACTCTGTAAGCCTCATGGGAGATGGAGATGGAGAGTCCTGGGAATGAAGAGAAGAAATTCACAGATGAGCTGAACAACTGCAAATATTCATATGGTAACACCCACTTGACAATAATATGTGACCATTAAAATTATATTTATGAAGATTATAGATCAGCACTGAAAAATGTTAAGTGAAAAAGGCAGGATATAAAATTATACATGCAATACTATAGTTATTTTTAACAACCAAAATTATATTTGGGACAAAAGACTGAGGAAATACACTGAACTATTGAAAGTGTTGGATTCATGGGTAATTTATTTTCATTTTCTCTACTTTCTACTTGCATTTTCCACATTTTCTTTAGTAATTATATAATTTGACACTTCAAAAATACTATTTTTGAAATCCATATGGAAATAATAAGAGCTTTGACACTGAGCAATTATGAATCTGAATTCTAGCTTTGCCTTTTGTTATCTGCATAACTCTAGAAAAATAATGTCAGTGGATCTTAGTTTGTTCATGTTTAAAATTGGTAAAATATAATCTACCTGAAACAATATCTGGCATATAGCAGGCCTTCATGTAGCTATTTGTTAAACTTTCTGGAAAACTATTTGGCCTTATCCAATAACCCTTTAAAAAATTTATACCAGTAATTTTGCTTCTAGGATTCTATCCTATGAAAATGATTATAAATGATAAGAAAGATTTATGTTTAGTGGTATTATTCATAAACTTATAATGATGGAAAATTGGATAAAATAGCTTATTAAATTTATTTTAATTTTTAATTTTTATGGGTACATAGTAGGTATATATGTTTATGTATTACATGAGATATTTTGATACATGCAGGCAATGCATAATCATCACATTTTGGTAGATGGGGTAGTTATCACCTCAAGAATTTATCCTTTGTGTTACCAACAATCCAATTATACTTTTATTTTAAAACATACAATTAAATTATTTTTGACTTTAGTTACCCTATTGTGCTAGCAAATACTAGGTCTTATTCATTCTTTCCGTTTTTTGTAGCCATTAACAATTCCCAATTCCCCTAAAGCATTTACTACTCCACTATCCTTCCCAGTCTCTGGTAATCATCATTCTACTCTCTAACTCCATGAGTTCATTTTTTTTTAATTTTTAACTTCCACAAATAAGTATGGGAAAATTGAACTCTATGAGTTTGTTTTAATTTTTAGCTCCCACATATAAGTGGTAATATGTGACATTTTTCTTTCTGTGCTTGGCTTATTTCACTTAACATGACCTCCAGTTCCATCAATGTTGCAAATGACAGGATCTCATTCCGTTTTATGACTCAGTGATACGCCTTTGTATGTATGTACCACATTTTCTTTATCAATTCTTCTGTTGATGAACACTTAGGTTGCTTCCAAATCTTGGCTATTATGAATACTGCTGCAATAAACATGGGAAGGCAAGTATCTCTTCAATATACTGATTTTCTTTCTTTTGGGCATATACCTAGGAGTAGGATTGCTGGATCATATGGTAGCTCTATTTTTAGTTTTCTGAGGAACTCCCAAACTCTACTCCATGGTGGTTGTATTATTTACATTCCCACCAACAGTGTAAGAGTTCCCTTTTTTCTGCAACCTTGCCAATATCTGTTATTTTTTGACTTTTTAATAGTAGCTATTCTGACTGGTATGTGATGGCATCTTACTGTGGTTTTGATTTGCATTTCTCTGATGATTAAAGATGTTAAGCATTTTTTCATGTTTGTTGGCCATTTGTATGTCTTCTTTGGAGAAGGACCTGTTTATGTCCTTTCCCACTTTTTATCTGTTTTTTTTTTTTTTTTTTTTTTTTTTTTTTCATCCTTGCCAGCAGTTGTTATTGCCTGACTTTTAAATAAAAGCCATGTTAACTGGGGTGAGATGATATCTCCTTTTAGTTTTGATTTAAATTTCTTTGATTATCAGTGATGTTCGACACCTTTTCCTATATCTGTTTGCCATTCATATGTCCTCTTATGAGAAATGTCTATTCAGATATTTTGCCCATTTTTAATTGGATTATGAGATTTTTGAACTCCATATATATTCTGCTTATTTATTTGTTGTTGGATGGGTAGTTTGCAAATATTTTCTCCCATTCTGTGGGTTGTCTCTTCACCTTCCTGATTGTTTTCTTTGCTGTGCAAAAGTTTTATAGCTTGGTATAATGTCATTTGTCTATTTTTGCTTTGGTTGTGCTTGTAGGATATTACTCAACAAATTTTTGCCCAGTCCAATGTCCCGGAGAGTTTACCCAGTGTTTTCTTCCAGTAGTTTCATAATTTGAGGTCTTAGATTTGTCTTTAATTGATTTTTATCTGATATTTGTAAACAGTGAAAGACAGAGGTCTAGTTTCATTCTTCTGCATATGGATATCCAGTTTTCCCAATGCATGTCTGTGAAAACTTTTTCAAAAATGAGTTCACTGTAGACATACAAATTTGTTTCTAGGTTCTCTATTCTTTTCCATTGGTCTAGGTGTCTGTTTTTATTACAGTACCATACTATTTTGGTTGCTACAGCTCTGCAGTATAATCTCAAGTCAGGTCATGTGATTCCTCCAGTTTTGTTCTTTTTGCTCAAAATAGCTTTGGCTATTCTGTTGGTTGTTGTTGTTGTTGTTGTTGTTGTTTTATATATATATTTTAAGATTTTCTTTCCATTTCTGTGAAGAATGTCATTTGTATTTTGATAGGGATTGCATTAAATATGCAGATTGCTTTCTGTTATATGAACATTTTAACAATATTCATTCTTTCAATCCATGAACATGGAATATCTTTCCATATTATGTGTTTACTTTTCAATTTCTTGCATCAGTGTTTTATAATTTTCATTGTAGAGATCTTTCACTTCTTTGGCTAATTCCTAGGTGTTAATTTTATTTGTAGCTATTGTAAATGTAATTATTTCTTATTTTCTTTTTAAGATTGTTCACTGTTGCCATATTTTAATATGCCACTAGTTTTTACATGTTGATTTTGTATTCTGCAACATTACTAAATGTGTTTATGTAGTTGTTTTTTGGTGGAGTCTTTAGGTTTTTACAAATGCAAGATCATATCATCTGCAAGCAAGGATAATTTGACTTCTTCCTTTCCGGTTGGATGCCCTTTATTTCTGTCTCTTGTTTGACTGTTCCTAGCTAGGTCTTCTAGTACTGTGGTGAATAGCAGTGAATGCTACACTGTCTTGACTACTATAGTTTTACAGTATTATTTATTTATTTATTTTTATTTTTCTGATTTTATTTTTTTAATTTTAATTTTTATGGGTGCATAGTAAGTGTATATATTTATGAGGTACATGAGATGTCTTGATATAGGCATGCAATATGAGATAGACACATCATAGAAAATGGGGTAGCCATCTCCTCAAGCGTTTATACTTTGAGTTACAAATAATTCAATTATAACTATTTGAGTTATTTTAAAATGTATAATGAAGTTATTATTGACTTTAATCACTCTGTTGTGCTATCAGATAGTAGGTCTTATTCATTCTTTCTAACTTTTGTTTGTACTCATTAACATTAACCATCCCTACCTCCCTCCCAGCCCCCTACTACCTTTCTCAGCCTCTGATAACCAGTTTTCTACTTTCTATCTCCATTAGTTCAATTCTAATGTTTTCAAGGTTCATCCGTGTTGTAACATGTATTTTTTTGTTGTTGTTGACAAACAGTATTTCATTATATGAATATACTATATTTTATTTATCTGTTTATCAGTACATGGACATTTGGGTTGCTTCCCCTTTTGGCTATTATTAATAATGATATAAATATTTAAGTACAAGTTTTTGTGTGGCTATATGTTTTCATTTTCCTTGGTTACATACCTAGGAATAGAATTGCTATATCATATGGTAATTATGTGTTTAACATTTTGAGGGATTGTGAAACTATTTTCCAAAGTAACTGCCCCTTTCATTTCCAACAGCAATGTATCAGGGTTCTTATTTCTCCACATCCTTGCCAACACATGTTACTACCTGTCTTTTGTATCGTAGCCATCCCAGTGGATGTTAAATGGTATCTCATTTTGGTTTTGATTTGCATTTCCTTAATGGCTAATGATGTTGAGCATCTTTTCATGTGTTTATTAATCATTTGTGTATTTTCTTTGGAAAAATGTCTATTCAAATACTTTGCCAGTACAGAAACATGCATTGTTTTTCTTTTTATTCTCAAATTGTAAGAGTTCTTTATATATTCTCCAAACACATATGAGACAGTTGATTTGCAAATATTTTCTCTTCAAAGACCACATATTGTATGATTTAATTTATATGAAATTCAGAAATGGAGAGTGACTGCTAATATGTATGGGGTTTCTTTTTGGGATAATGAAAATGTTCTAAAATTGATTGTGGTATGGTGATGGTTGTATAACTGTGAATATATTAAAAACCACTGAATTGTGCAATTTAAGTGGTCGAATTATATGTTAAGTGAATTAAATCTCAATAAATGTAATAAATAGATTTGAAAATTTAAACTGCACTCATACAAGTTTTTCAAATAACCCTAGTAATAATTCTTCTTCTCCTTCTCCTTCTCCTCCTCCTCCTCCTCCTTCTCCTTCCTCTTTTTCTTCTTCTTCTTCTTCTTCTTCTTCTTCTTCTTCTTCTTCTTCTTCTTCTTCTTCATCTTCTTCATAGTTAGTATTATTTTATGAGACAAATCATCATCATCATAGTTATTATTTTATGAGACACATCATCATAGTCATCATCATCTTCATAATTATTATTATTATTTTATGAGACAGGGTCTCACTCTGTTGCCCAGGCTGGAGTGCACTGGTGTAATCACAGCTCACTGCAGTGTCTACCTACCAGGTTAAAGTAAGCTTCCCTCTTCAGCCTCCCGAGTAGCAGGGACCACAGGTCTGTGCCAATAAGCACAGCTATTTTTTTTTTGTGGCAATGTGGTCTCAGTATGTTGCCTAGGGTGGTCTCAAACACCTAGGCTCAACTTATCCTCCTGCCTTGGCCTTGCAAAGTGCTGGGATTAC